AACAAAATACGTATGTCTCTTAGCTAAACATACTGATTTTTCATGTTCAAGTTTTCTTTGTTCCACAAATGCTTGGAGAAAGACAAGTTTTGCTTGATTATTTGGTAAGACGTTATATGCTGGTCTTAATCGTCCTTTCATACCATTTTAGACTTCTTGTTATTTAGCAGTGAAAATAGGACCGCCAGGGACTTCTTGTTGTTCAACATTGAGAATAGGACCACCAGAGACTTCTTGTTGTTCAGCATTGAGAATAGGGACATTTACAGACGAGGGGTTACCATAAGCCATTAATTGTGGGATGTTCAGTGTTTCAAAAGCTTCATAGGTAGATTATATAAAAGGTGGAAATATGATTGAAATATGGTTATTTATAAAAGATGGAAATATGATTGATTTATAAAAGTGAAAATATGATATGTTTCTAAATCATGTCTGGTGATCAAATCCTATAATAAAAAACCTTACCAATCCTTGTACTGTTTCGGATATAATGCTAATTCGAGTTGGGCTATAGTAATTTCGAGTGATATATGAGCGGGTATATAGGGTGATATGGGTGAGAAAAGGTGGTATTTTCAGAAACTTATATGAGTTATGTCTACCAATATTTCATGCCTCAAAATCTTTGCCTTAAATATTCTTAAAGATTCATCTCCGGAAAAAATTACAAGCAATATTAATATTCCCAAACTAGACCTGTACTCGTTATGCAATCAAGAACTTTTTTTTGTTTGAAATTAAAAATCTAATTACCATATATATTATCACGATTGTATCGAAACTTCTATCAAGAAACGTTCAATATGCCCAAAGCCCGATTGCAAGAAGGAGGTAGAATCTACGGTTGACAGCATGCCTGGAAGTCAGAATATTAATAATCTTATGGATATATTCCCTACACTATTTAACGACCCTCAACTATATTCAAGTTTACCTAAAAAGCGTGCCAGCGAGACCGTCTCTACAGAAAAATCCCCAAGTAAAAAGATTAAAAAGGCCAATGGAAGGAAGGATAGAAAAATGGTTGAAAAAAAGATGTTCAAGCGGTTTTTAATAGATGAATGTAATTGTAACATACACCATTTGTAACAACTAACCAAATAAATTTATTTATATTTAAAAAATAAAAAAAATGATAATTTTATTTATGCATCGGAGATAATAAACGTAACATTAACCAATAAAAAATTTTCCCTATCGTTAAAAGGTTTTATCTAATACTTGTTCCGCTGTTAATGTTGGGTCATTAACGTATACAAATTTGTAAATTTCAATGTTACTCCACCATTTCAAGATGGTAACAAACGTAACCCTTTCCGCATTCCCTCGTCTTACACGTGCATTGAACACGGAAGATTTGCAAGGGAGTACAACCCAGCATCCAATCTGTCAAAATGACCAATAAAATTCCTCTAAGAATTTCCTAAGAATCCGTAGATGCATATTCCTTTTCACGTTGAATACCAGGCGGTCCCCACGTAACAAAAAAGGATGCGTGGGTGCATAAAGAGATATCAATTATTGACATATGGGCGATAACTCATGGGGAAAATTCTAAAAAGGAAACTGATCAGCAATTTTTATTAGTAAAAATTTCTTTATTTGAATTTTTTCCCATATGCGATTTTTGAAAAAAAGAAATGGTTTGTTGATAGGGAAAATTTTTTATTGGTTAATGT